GTGGTCGTTAGTGGACCATACTAGGCAAATGCTATTTATCGATACTTAGACTTGGTTTGACCTCCTAGGTAAGTTGAGTTGGAAAACCCATGTTAACTGGGGATGTAATTAAACCAATGAGGGCTTGATGGGTCATCCCTTGATAAGGTCGGAGTTGTCCAGATGAGTGAGCCGAGGGACTATGTGACCCTTATGTGTGATGATTGCCCTTTAAAGACGAGGGCCAAAGCCTCATCACTGAAACATCACGCGGCATGTACACAAGATAGCCGTATTGGAAAAGCGAACCACCTTCCAGGGTGAAGCGTGTACATGTGTGAGAGATTACCCCTATGTATCATAGAATTGTGATCGCATCAGGTCTAGTTGACCTTGGTTGATCTCTAGGTGAGAGCCTGTAGTCCATGGACTGGGATTATGTCCCCTTGCCTATTGGCTGACTTTGGTGGCATAATCATGAATCCCTGCAGTGGTATGTGGATCATGGGAACTATTGGATTATTCTGAGAATGCAAGTGTGGATTACAGTCCAAAGTAGAAGGTGAGTGCTCCAGCGATTTTATAATTCCTAGACCTATATAGTCTGATTCCCATCAAAATTATTTAGTTTTATTATTTTGATGATATATGATTTTTAGATTGATTATTTGAATTTTGTGAATCTCTGGATATTTTATTTTTACAATTGGATTTATAAATCCAGAGATATTCAATTTTTAGTATTTTAATATTCAAAGGAAAATAAAATTTATTTCCAATTAACTAAAACTCATTTTTATTCATTTTATAAATCAATAAACTCATGGGGGCCCACAAAGAGCTATGGGCCCACCATATTATAACACATGGGAGAATTGAGTGGGGCCCACATAAGGCCACCTAGGGTGGCACGCCCTACTCAAGGAAACTTTGGTTACTAAATTTTGTTAAAGCTATCTAGGCTTGGTAATCAAGTTAATGTGATTTAGAAAGTTTTGTGATTTGAAGTTTTGACTATTCAAAGATGGAATGAATAAGAGAGATTATTCGTAAAATAGGAAAATATGATATTATTTCTATATTGCAATATTTGATGAGATTAGGTTTAGGAAGCTGGAGAATAAAGTTCTAGCACAATCCTTTAAATCATGATGGTTGATCCAAGGATTGGATGACTCAAATCTCTCACCCCACAAGTTTCCTATGATCAATGGTCTGGATCAAATCGGCATAAAGATGGTTAACTCTAAGGAAACCCTAGCCCATGAAAAATCTACAAATAGGGGCCCTTCTCCCCATATTTTCTACACACCTCTGTCTTCTCTCTCTACTCTCTCCCTATATAAGAGCACACCCCACCTAGGGTTTCTCTCTGTCCTCTCTCATCTTGAGTTCTCTTTCTCTCTCTCATCTCCCTTAGTTAATAGTAAGAGAAAGAGGACACGCCCCTACTAGACTATCAAGATGGGGGGCATGCCCCACTCATGAGACAAGGTATTGAGGGCTTCAGTTATGTTGTTCCATGCTCTCTTATTAGTAGGGTTTGGCCTTAAGCTTCCCCATACTTTGTAGATCCTTAGCTTATGTTGTTTCATGCGCTCTTGTTGGTAGGATTTGGCCTTAAGCTTTCCCATACTTGGTAGATCCGAGAAAGACTATTGATCCCACGCGCCATTGGAGGAGGAGACCCGTTATTGGCCATACTAATTCTGGTTGCGGTAATCTCCAGGATCTTTTACTTTGTGCCTCATAGTATCTTCTTTTTTGTGCTTTTCTTATTCCCATAGCATTGTGTTACTTTTTGTTTATTCAATAAAGGGAGGTGTAATTAGTGGTAGCAAGAGCAATCCACTTTTATTTATTAATTATTTCAAGTGAGTTTTATTGTATTTAGACCATTGTAAATGTTCTAGTTGATGACAAAAAAAAAAAACTAAAACTATATACATCCTATATACACCGTGTTAAATCACGTTGTCCAACTTTCAGTTTCGTATTTACATATTAAAAAATATTCTCTGTAAATCTCAAAACACTCGAGAGTCTGCCATTAAAACATCTTGTTTTTCCAAAACAAAGGAAGTGAGAGGCATTTGTTGGTAACTGCTAGTCGGTAGTAAGAAGGTTCGTTTTTAGGTGGAAACACAGCAGGCGAAGCATATTGGACATAAACTCAAGGAAGAACTTTTTTATTTTTTATTATCTAGTACTGGTAGTTAGCTCGTTTTTCTCTTTTATTTTTACAGATGGATAACTCCAATGTTTTAAAAAACGGCCCGCTTGGCCCTTAGGAGGTCTGGACCAAAAATCCGAGCACTAGACCCAGGAGTAAGTACACGGGTGGATGTACCTGGGAGGGTGCCCAAGCGGGCTAGACGGGAGCGCCTAAGGCCGTAAAGCGTCTTTCGTTTTTTAAATCGCCCAAAAGGGAAAAGGGGTTCATTTTGACCCTCAAAGTTGTATAAAAACATTATGGGGTTTATTTTTAACCCTCAAAGTGGGGAAAAAAAAAAAAACAATCTATATATGAAAACCCCCAAAGTGAAAAACCTATGGAGCGCCCGAGGTTCTGGGCGCTCGACACCTAGGTGGGCACCAGGCAAGCCATCTAGCGACTAGCGTTTTTTGAAACCTTGGATAACTCAGACTAGGACTTACAGATGCAAAACTATTTACATGACTCTCTTAGACTCACACTCTGAATTCCAATGCCTTCAATTGATTCTTATCATCCTCTATATAAACCTAATTTACCAACACTAGTTACTTAGCTTGGAAGCAAAGCAGGTTTGATTATTTCTTGGAGTAGAAAGAAATCATATAATGTGCTTCGTACAACAACATCATTGCACCGACATTACTTTTTGTAAAGTATCTTTCTTTTTTCAAGGAAGTCTCTTTTCCTACAACATCTTCCTTTTCAATCTTTCATCATTTTGTCTAGATTGGACAATCCCACATCATCTAGGCTTTCATAAAAATATTCTCCATCACCATCTCTTCATCTAGTTATTCTTCATCCTTTCATTTCTTGATTGAGAAGTTTCATGGTTTCAGGGACTTCCTTTTGCTTGAGCTATTTCAATAGTATTAAGATATACTACTAAACTTTCGAGCATATTATCCCATTATTTTATTCTCTCTTGATGGTAAATTTTCTCGTCATTGTCAAAATGTTCTTCTATTATTTTATAGATATTAGAACATCCTTCTGGCCTAGCTTTTGAAATACTCTTTTCTCTATAGAATTGGCCTCGAGAGTTTGGAAACGCAAGCATTCTTATTTCTCCATGGTTAATAATGACTACATGATGAGCTGCGTAATACATTTCTTGATAAATTTTTGGCGATGTGTTATTGCAGGACACAAAGAGCGGCGTTAGTAAAAGTTTAAGGAAACTTGATAGCATATTGGGGATTCTTTTTTTTTTATCTTGGGTATGAAAGCTAATAATTAACCTTGTCGTGATTAATAATTCCTCGTCTTCTCTTTGATAGAGATGTAGCATAGTTATCGGAATCTCTCTACTAACTCGCATTTCCAGTTCCGAAATCCGATTCACGTTTCCGTTGAGGAATCTCCACGGAAACCATTTTTCGAAACCAAGGAAACTCGATTCCTTAATTTCAAAATCTCGATTCGACACATCTTTAGAAACCTCTTTTTCGGAACCAAAGAAACTCTATTCCTTAATTTCGGAATATCGATTCAAGACCATTTATCGGAACCAAGGAAACTCAATTCCTTAATTTCGGAATCTCGATCCACATCCTTGAAAACTTGAACCCATTAATTGTTGGTAGACATTCCCAAATATATCGAATCGAGATTCTAGCGAGGATTAAATCAAGATTCTATGTCAGTTGGAGTAGAAATCTTCCTTCGAATGCTTCTAGTTGTTGCAAGGTTTCATTATTTACTTGTACCACCTTGGATGACCTTTACTTTAAATTTAAATTATAATTGGTAAATACAACATATATAATTAAAAGTAAAACTATGGCATGGACACAATCCTTTTTTTCTTTATAATAATGAAGTCAAAATCATAATTTAGGAATACTTCTTTTGTATATAATGACCATAAGTTCAATAGTCAACACAATCACTTTAAAATTCGAGAAACCTTCCAATAAGAGACATCCAATATAGGTTCTAAAGTTGACGAGGCTGAAGACGTGCTTATGGCTTCATTCTCCACAAAAATGAAATATTGATTCTTGGTAGGGGTTGTCAAACACATTCCATAGTCCATATTGTTGTAAATCTTGATCTCAAACTGGCATGGATCTATGATTTATATACTTTAAAAACTTAATTCCAAATATGTTAAAATCACAATTCGAAACAACAATATATTTATATTCCACACATGTCAAAAACTCGATTCTATTGATGTCGGAAACTCGAGTCCGCATATTAAAGAATCTTGACTCCTGGAGTGTTGACACTAGGGGGATGGGAATCTCGATTCCAAGGACGGAATCTCGATTTCATAGGTGGATGAAACTTGGATCTATTTCGGTCCAAACACGTTTCTCAAAAAGTAGGAATCTCGTTCCTAGCGATTCTTATTGTATGGACAACGATTCCTAAGACTGGAATCATCTAGCCGTCCGCCATTCCGGTTCCTAAAACGATTTGGGCTCCCAAGGGTCTCCAACAACTATGAGATGTAGCCTTGGAGGCCCTTCTCTCCAAATAAGTATTTTTCCTTAATAATACATTTCATTTTGAAAATGTTTCATGATTTTTAAAAGGAATTCTTCTTGTGCCTTTTTGCTTATTTCTTTAAAAATTCCAGCTGGAAGTTTAATAGGATTAAAGCTTTCTTGAGTAAAAAATTGGACAACATATATGTGTGTGTATGTATAAATATTAGCTTGCCCACCCAAAAGGAAGATTCTCTATCGTTCACGAAGCTCAATTGAAGGGAGTGAACTAAAGCAATAGAGGTAGATGTTTAGGCCATCTCTAACCCAAAAACTGAACCACCAAAAGTAAACAAGCAAGAGGGTCATTAATCAAGGGTAACTTCTAACGTTACAATGATTAAAACATTAAAATACACAAATCTTGGACATATTATAACCTAACAACTTCACATTTTTCAACAAAATACCAACTGCATGTGACATATGTTGCAATAGAAATGAAAAAGTAGAAACTTCAAAGTCCATTGGCCTCTATTCCAAGTTATTTTCTTATCAAAGGGTTGTAAATTTGGAAATTTGTTACATATGCAAGTCAACTAACGTTGAAAACATATATAACTTATCCAATTAAAAGTGAAATTTTCGATGACACAGAGATACACTTGATGTAAAGGGACTAAAGGAGTTTGCCTGGTACATCAATGGCTGATGCATGATATTTTCGAAACTCCTCTTTCCCTTTGCTGATCGGCTACTGTACCGATGGCCACTCCAAAGTTAGAACCACGGGGATAGCCACCAATGAAAGCCTCAGGAAAAACAACCTGCTGTGCCCCATAAGTGGCAGCATCTCCAATTAATCTCTCCGCTTTATCTACAAAAGCCAAAAGAAAACCAAATCATGTCATTTGGCAGTTAAAGAAAAAGATAAAGCAGACAAAGAAAATGCAAAGGTGAATAGCTTAGTGTATATACTTGCTAAAGGAATCAATGATCAAAAAAATTTGAACCTTAATCACAAATTCATGTATCGCACAATTTTGGAATTTAGACACACAAAAATTGAAAAATATAAAAAATTAAAAATTAAAATAAAATTAAAATTAAAAAGAGTCACAAAATGGAAGACCATATTCCAAATTTCACAGAGAAAACATCAAATGAAATGCCCATTACCCTTCCAAACCTATCAACCAGCGAATGTGACAAATAATTAATATGCTAACCAGCAAAAAGGGGAATGGTGAAGGCCTGTAGTAGGATAGACTTGAAAAACAAAAGAACAGATTAATGAAGAAACACAAGATAGTGCAAAGCCATATGCAAATGAAAAATCACATTCTCAACCAAGCTCAAGGTAACATCATCCCCAATTAGAAAATAAATAAATAAATAAATAAAATTACGCTTAGAAAACTAAAATCAGAACACAGTAAGTGAAACCACAACTATCCAAAATAAGTTACCCGCAACAATAAACAAACGTATAGCAAACAATCAAAGAAAGAGAGTAAAGAATAATAGGAATATGTACCAGTGTAGCAGGAGTGTCATAGAAGACAGTGGCAGCTTGGACGACAGTGGCAGGCACTGACTATAGGAACCCATATCCACCTCAGCTACCACAGGATCAGCAGCAGGCACCAACGCCATTCTCAAATTTAAAGAGAGGGGGAGAGAGAGTGAAGATTAAGTGGGGTGAGAGAGAATCCCAAATTTAGAGAGAGAGAGAGAGCTAAAAATTAAGAGGGATAAGAGAAGCAGCGGCAATAGTTGATCTATCAGTTTGCAATAATGCTCGAATGCAGAAAGAAGACATTAGTCAGAGACGAGATAGTGGGGAGCAGGGACCAGTGACCTAAGAGATTAGGAGAGAGAGTGATTGAGTGAGGTGAGGCAGTTAAACAACCAATTTGCAACAATGCTCAGATGGGGAGAAAAGGAAAAAGTGATGAGCAGGAGATGAGAGATAAAAGGGAGGAAACCAACGTTATTAGGGGAGAGCGGGAGAGAGAGAGAGACTTGGAGAAAGATAATGAGGACGATGAGAGAGAAGAAGCTCAATTGCCACAAAGGTTCAAACAGGAAAGGCAAGGAGAAGAAGAGGCGATGAAAGAGAAAGGGTACAATAGACCAGTAACACACTGGAAGTTAGGGAGAGAACGAGAGTAGGAGATCATTTTCCATACTTTTCTTGAGGTGTTCTCTGAGGAGGTCGGATCGAGCTTTGATGCGGGCTTATTCGGGGCCCATGTTGCGGTAAGAGAGGTGGACACCGACCATGAAAAGGGAGAGCCCAAAGAGCAAGAGACCCGCGGTCCTGGCTTTCTCCCAGGGGGTCGTCGAAAAACCCACCATCGCTACTAAAATGCCATCACTGGGACAAGAATTAGGACCAGGGCGAAGCTTGTTGCCACCACAAAAAATGAAGAATTATAAGGAGGTTTATTTTGGTAAAATATCTGGATGACTTTTGTTTTTAGGTTTCATTTTCGAATAGACTTAAAGGTTTTAAAATATATCTTGGATCATAAAAATTGTAGATTTTATTTTTTCTAACCCCGTGAATTAATTTAAACCTACTTTTTTAGGCCAAACAAATTTAAAAAAACATGCATTTTTCTAAAAACCATCCTCCCAAACTTCTAGAGAGAGAAGAGCATCATGGAGGTGACAATTTACCAGAAAGAGAGAGAGGTGTTTGGAGAAACATAGGAGAAGATAGAGAGTGAGAGACACAAGAAGAGAGAAGTTTGGGATATATAAATGAAGAGATAAATGATTGGGTTTAAAAAAAAGATGTCTTTTTTACATTTGTTTAGGTTAAAAAATAGGTTTAAAGTAGTTAAAGGTTAGAAGATATTTTTTGAAACATTGTGTTTACTAAGAAATGAAATTTACGAATAAAAGGTCAGGAGATATTTTCTCTTTATTTTTTTGCAAATGTTACTAGAGGACCATCTGACCCGTCGTTTTTATTTTTCCAATTCTATCCCTAGTCTATGTTCCTAGTATGTGATCGGTCTTTATTTTATTTTTTTTGAAATATAGGGATATGACCAGTATTCACAAAACTGGTTGTTCTAACCGCTAACCATCCGGTTAGATCAGAACCGGCCATTGGCGATCAACCGGTATTTTAAACTTTAAATGTAATACTACTTCAAATACATATTAAATAATATTAGAATGGTTTATTGGTCAGTTATTATATATTATTAGGTAAAGCAATACAAATAAAAGAATAAAAGAGCTAAATAATTGAACTACATACAAATAGAATAATGAATAGAGTAACAAGATTGAAATATATGTTAAAGAAAACTTACATAACAAGATGGAAATATATATTAAAGAAAACTTACATAGCACTAAATGGAAGCAAGCACACAAGTGGTACAATTATTCAAGAGGGAAGCTGGATGGCTTGATAGATTGATATACCACCAGATATACAAAGGGAGATATTACAAAAGAGGAGAGAAAAAACTCAGAGAGAAACTAAGAGCACTCAAGAACAAGTATTCCAACATTCTGACGTAAGAAGCTAAAACTTGAGGTGCCTCCAACATGAGAGGTGGCGTCCTTATATAGATAAGGATAGTTGGCGGACTTAACACCTTTTTAAGTCCGCACAGTGGTGTCGGTGGACTTAACAGCCTTTTAAGTCCGCACAGTGGTGTCGGTGGACTTAACACCCTTTTAAGTCCATACAGTGATGTTGGTGGACTTGAAATTGTTTGAAGTCTGCGTAGTATTTTCCAAACAGGCAAAGGTGCTACAGTGTTCGTATATGCTACAATGATTTGCTACGGTGACCACTGCTATAGTGACCTCTGCTACAGTACTGCTACAATGTTTTCTTTTGAAAATTTGGATTTCTTCTTCTTTTTTTGATATTTTTGTCGGGACACGTGTCCTGGATGAAGTGGAGTCGGGCCGTCCCATATTTCATCAGTATTTTAACTGTGTTGTGAAGCGAAAGGTTCAGAGTATTCTGGATCAAATCCTTCTTCATTCTGATTCCCCTCATCCTGCTCTTCATTGTCGGGCTGGGAGGAAGACATTTTGTTTTCCTCTTCTTTTAAAGCCATCAAGAGTCTTCTTTTAAGCTTGGTTTTTTAAATTTTTTTTATATCTATTTGATTGAAATAATCCATCAATTTATCGGTTTTGCTAGTGATAGCGATATGAACAAAGGCCAGCTTTTTCAGGATAATTTTTCTTGGCTTAAGATGTGTGTGGGTGAAATTATCCCACCATTTAACATAAATCTGTCTTTCTAGACTTGGGATATAATCCCACCTATCAACATCATTTTCGGTTAAAGTGTATTCCCATCACATTATCCAAGGGGATTTCATATAAAACCCAGAAATATGATTCCAGGTTTCTTTCACTTGAATCCATGTTGAAATCAGCAAATCTTTGTTTGGATTCTTTAATTAATCCAAGAAAGACATTGGAAATAGGTTCCCATTTATAGAACCAGTTTGGTAAATCTCTTAGGCATTTTATCCTGAATTGTAAAAACCAGTTGTGTGAATTTGCTTATTTTAGTAAGAGAATATTAAATCCCATGCTTTAATATAGTTATAATAATTATATGATTTAATGATGGTATTTTATGCTTTAAAATACCCTGGCTTTAACAGTCAAAGCCCCATTCTCTGTATAACATGACATCCAGGATTTGAAACTTGGAATATGCAAATTGTTGTCCATTATTACTATAGTAATGGACGCTATTAACAGATCATGTTTCCATTAAAACAACTTCATAATATTCAAGGGTTTTAAACTCCATTGGAAGGACGAATATGATCTTTAAGGTATACAGCTGCAATATCAACCGGATGACTATTTTTATGTTCATTTTCCATTACTATTAACGGAATTATTATTGTGGATATATGAGGGGTTCTTTCTTTAGATTTAGGATTTTGAATCCTTATGGGTTGAGGAGATATTTCAATCTCTTTTCTTTATGCTTGTAATAAAGCTTTGGATGATTGCGACTGTGTTGCCAAGCTTATACTTGGGCCTAGGATTATTTCCATTAGTTGCTTGCCTTTCCTTCCCGCCCTGCAAAAATTCTCAAGTAAAAAAGTCAGCGAGAGATTTGGAATTGCCATTAATATGTTCAATGGAAAAATCGAAAACTAAAAGAATTGCTTGCCAGCCAGCAAATATTTGCTTTGAGACTAAATTTTTACATCTTTTTCAAAAATTTCTTTAACAGATTTACAATCTGTTAGAATCAAGAACTTTTTATTGAACATGTCACTTTGAAACTTAGTGACACAGTGAACAATGGCCAAAACTACTTTTTTAACAGTAGAATATTTCTGCTGAGCAGGATTCCAAACTTTAGAAGTATATCGAACCAATTGTTCTTTATCATAAAATTTTTATTTTAAAAAATTCCCCCTAAACCAATTTCGTAAGCATCAATTTCAATTATTTTGAAGGAGCTAGGATTTGAAAGGGCCAAGCAAGGTAATTCCTTGGCTTTTCGTTTAAATTTTCAAACAGTTTTTGTATGTTCATTTGTCCATTCAAGAGGATGCTTTTTAAGCCATTGGAAAAGAGGTTTTGCATCTAAGGCAATGTCCTTATAAACTCAGAGATGTAATTTAAACATCTAAGAAACCTTTGCAATTCTTTTTTGTCTTTTAAAATATCAGGAAATTTATCAGCAAATTGAATTACCCTATCAATAGGAATAATTCCACCATAATGAATATTATGGCCAAGAAATCTTATTTTAGTTTGAAATAGGGCCATTTTTTTAGCAGATAAGACTAAGCCAGCATTTTTAACTGCTTTTCTTCCAGTGTTGGTCAATAGAACTGGAGAAGATCAACACGTCATCAATATAAATAATCATGAATTTTGTATAGGGGTTAAAGATGTCATTCATTATGTTTTGAAACTTTGAAGGAACATTTTTTAAACCAAAAGGCATTACATTCCACTCGTAATGCCCGAAAGGAACATTGAAAGTGGTTATGTATTTATCCTTTTCAGCAATTTGAATTTGCCAGTAACCAGATTTTAAATCAAAATTTGAAAATACACAGGCTTCAATTAACTTGTCAAGAAGATCTTTTTTATTTGGGATAGAATATCTAATCCATTGTAAGACTTTATTTAGAGGCCTGTAATTTATAACAAGTCTTGGAGCACCCCTTTCAAGCTCAGAGGCATTATCGACAAAAAAAGCCGAACAACTCCAAGGATAAGAGCTTTTTCTAATAAGCTTTTTTTTATTAAGCAGATCCTGAATTTCAGTTTTACAAATTTCAAGAAGCATACTATTTATTTGAATAGGTCTGGCCTTGGTAGGAATATCACATTCACTAAAATCAGGTTCATATGAAAGTTCAACAATATGTTGTTTTTTATTCCAAAAGTCATTTGGGATCTCAGCACAGACTTCTTTTTCAAGAACGATTCTAAAAATATTAATATCATGTTGGAATTTTAGAGAAAGCAATTTTTCTTCCACTGTTTTATATTTGATTTCTTCTTTTAAAGAAAATAGGAAATTTTTTTAGTAAAAATCTTATCTTTTATATTATTTATTTCATGTACTCTTGGTTTATCAATAAAACCAAACTTAACATTATGTCCTTCTATTTCAACTTCAATTCTAGTGTTATCAATCTCTAAGGGATATAGCATATTTAAGAAAGGAGTACCCAAAATAACAGGTTGACTTAATCCTATAACCATAATAAAAGGAAAGTTAAAGCATGCACCATTATTGCAAACAGCAGCATCTAAAAGTTTGTAATTTATAAGCCTCTTGCTATCATCAGCAGTATTTAACACTTGGGTAGTTTTTGAAAAATATTTTGTGGGAACAAGACCTTCATTAATACAATTCAAATCTGCTCCAGAGTTAATAAGAGCAGTAGTTTGAAACATAAGAGCAATAGTAACCTCGAAAAGCACACATCTTTATACCACTCAAAATGTGACAGTCATGGACATCGAAGATTTCATAATAACTTCCAACCTAGTTGCTAAAAGAGCAGTGCTACCAACAAAGTGAAGAGTAATAGTATAAATAAGTGTATTTACTGCATCTCTTTCATCAACGACAGATTCATGAATCTGTCTTGGAGCTATTTCAGTTTTGACAATCCATTGTTTAGTGGCATTTAAAATTTGATTTATGACACTTTCATCGAGGTGAAAATCCCACCAGCCTCGAAGCCAGCCCGTAAAGCCACAGATTATTGCTTTAGCAATTTCGTGGTCCTTATTACGACTAGTTTTGCACGCAGTAGCGTACATGGTCATATGATTCATGAGATCAATAATTTGATTCTCAAACATTCCATCAATGTTCCAATTAACAATAGATTTACGAAAATATGATATAGAACTTGCAATAAGATCTTCTTCAATTTGCAGATCTATAGGAGTAGGCCTAAGGTAATACATCTTAGTTTGGGATACATGCCTAACCTTCCTTCTGTAATCAATTCTATTAATCTCTGAGCTTTCAACTTTAAAAACATTTTCAATGTCGACTATTTCTTGATCAAAATGACTGGGGCCTTTCCTTTTTGTTTCTCAGAAACATTTAGGTTTGAAAGTCTTTTAACTAATTCATCTACACGTTCATTCTTGTCTTCCTTTTCTTTATGCCTTAAAGACTAAACTTCCATGTCTCAATAACATGTGGAAACTTAAATAATAAAGCTTCTTTAGATTTTTCATTTTTTTTCATAGATCTTTCATTGGTTTAATAGTGTTTAATGTATTTTGAATTTGGGTGCTTTGAAGACCCAAAGTTTGTAAAAATAGATTTGTATAATTATTTTGTTAAATTCTATGGGGGATACCATCTATTTTTTCCATTTGATTATCATTTTTCTTTTAATCCTTGTTTAAAAGGTGAAGCTTTGGTTTCCATTATGTCTCCTTTAAGTTGGAGATTGGTTTCAGGAGGATGGATGGATTCAATAGTCTTACTATCTCCCGTGTGGAAAGTTCTAAAATTTTTTTAAGCCATATGAACGGTAGGTTTAGGCTCAGGAAAATTTGGGACAAGGATTCCTTTCTTCTTAAGAAGATACCTTAACCATTTAAAAAATTTAACATTTTCTTTATGTTTAAGCATGAATTCAATAAAAATTTTATGAAAAGCATCTTGAAGGGGTTTTTAAAATTCTTTAAAAAACCATTCTCTGATTTGTCTATTTTCTTCAAAATAGAAGTATTTTTTAATCCATTCTTTATCGAAATGGATTTCGTTAGGTGTTTGAAGAACATTGACACCAAACTCAAGGTCTAAAAAAGTAGGTTCATCGTGTTCAACCTTTTGTTCAGATATAGAGTTAGGAGTTTGAACTCTGTATATGGGTTGTTGGACCTATTCTGAAGATTTTCTTAAACCTTCAAGTATTATTTTCTCGTTATGAAGCTTTTCATAATTTGTTTCAGGAATAGAAGAAGTAGAAGCCCTTTCTGGTACTTT